ACGTAACACACCCGATAACATAACACACCCGATAACATAACACGCTAACACCTAACGGTAATATAACATAACACGTATAACACACCGGTAATATAACATACACACACCCGGTAATATAACATAAACACAGTAGCAACATAACACACCCGGTAATATACATAAACACATCTTAACATAACACATAACACACCCGGTAATATAACATAACACAGTAATATAACATAACACACCCGGTAATATAACATACTTACAGTAATATAACATAACACCCGATATTATAACACTAACACAGTAACATAACACTGCACACCCGGTAATATAACATAACACACCCGGTAACATAACATACACCCGGTAATATCATCCCGCTCGCATAATATAACACACCCGGTAACATAACTACCCGTGGACTTAACATAACACGGTAATATAACATAACACACCGGTAATATCATACCCGGTAACATAACATAACACACCCGGTATATAACACACCCGGTAACATAACATAACACCGGTAATATAACACTTACACCGGTAATATAACATAACACACCCGGTAACATAAACACCTAATATAACACATAACCACGCAGTAACATAACATAACACACCGGTAATATAACACAACACACCGGTAACATAACATCACACCGGTAACATAACATAACACACCCGGTAATATAACATAACACAGATACATACACACCCGGTAATATAACTACTACACCACGGTAATATACATAACACACCCGGTAACATAACATAACACACCGGTAATATAACATAACACACCCGGTAACATAACCTTACGCAGTAATATAACATAACACACGGTAACATAACATACACCCGGTAATATAACATAACTAGTAATATAACACTAACACACCGGTAATATAACATACGGCAACATAACATAACACACCCGGTAATATAACTAACTACCAGTAACATAACATAACACACCCGGTAATATAACATAACACGATAATATAAACATAACGCAGTAACGCTTACCGGTAACATAACGCTTGCAGTAATATAACACAACACCCGGTAATATAACCTAACACCCGGTAATATAACATCACACCGGTAATATAACATAACACACCGGTAACATAACATAACACACCCGGTAACATAACATGACACACCCGGTAATATAACATAACACCGGTAATATAACATAACACGGTAATATAACATAACACACCCGGTAACATAACATAACACACCGGTAACAACCTCTTACCCAGTAACATACCTGCGCAGTAACATAACATACACCCAGTAATATAACCTACTACACCGGTAATATAACATACTACACCGGTAATATAACATAACACACGGTAACATAAACACATACACCGGTAACAACATAACACACCGGTAACAACATAACACGCAGTAACATAACATAACACACCCAGTAATATAATTCTGTCTTGAGTGGATATTTCCCTCTTATATATATATATATATATATATATATATATATATACATTCAAATACATAGTCAAGTCACAGTGCATTTTCGACGCCATTGTAATCTAGTCGACCAGATAGTGTACATACGAACGTTCTCATATCTTCCTGAAGCTGCGGTTAGGTTAGGTTATATAGCGAGGAGGGGGAGGGGAAGGAAGGTGTGGAAAGATGAAACCTGGAAGAGAAGAAAGAAGACAAAGAAGAGGAAGGATAAAGAGAGGAAAGGGAAATGGAAAGACTTCAGGCCACCTGACTTATTGTATCTTGAACTATGTAATTACTACATTGAATCAGGGCTGCTTGAGGACATTCTTCCTGTTTATCCCAAATTTGCTAGCCCACACCGATTAGTCTTCAATTAGAATATGACTCCAATGTATGTGAACCACTGACCTATATATACTGCTTATGAATATGATGTATTTCCTTCTTTGTGTACGAACCTCTGTCCTGCATGGCAGTGAACAGTGGCATTACCCACATGAATCTGACCTATATATAGTGTCAATGATGCATTCTTTGTGTACGAACCTCTGTCCTGCATGGCAGTGAACAGTGACATTACCCACATGAATCTGACCTCTATACATATATAGCTGTTAATGAATATGATGTATTTTTGTGTATGAACCTCTGTCCTGCGTGGCAGTGAGAAGTGATACCACCCTCAGTGTCAAGACCTCACTGAATTACTCACAATAGGCAAACTGTACTACAAGCTTTGCCAATAAATTTGTTAAACTTAAAGTTAAATGGAAAGGAAGGAAAAATAAATGCAGGAGGAAAAGACAAAAAAAAAGATAAATGAGGACAACCATTGGAAGGAGAGGGAGAGAGGAAGAGGAGGCAGGAAGAGGGAGGGACAGGAAGGAGAGAGAGAGAGGAGATGAGAGGGTAGAGTCAGGTAAAAAAAGTGAGGAGGGAATGTGAGGAAGGGATGAGGAGGGGCGTGCGGTGTTATGGCTTGAATCTCGGGAGACGAATTCCAGAAGGGAGGGAAGGTGGCGAGGGGGGGGAGTGATGGCTCCCATGTGGATGATCCCCACATCCGCTCCCTGGGGCCACCGTCACGCTCAGCCACCCCCTGACACGCCACACACACAATACATACACCTCTACACACACACACACATACACCTCTACGCACACACATACATACACCTTTACACACAGACACATACATATCCTCCCCCCACACACACACACACCTTTACACACACATCTACACACGCACACACACACCTTTACATACACCTCTACACACACACACACCTTTACATACACCTCTACACACACACACCTCTACACACACACACACACACCTTACACACACCTCACACACACACACACACACACCTTACATACACCCCTACACACACACACACACACCTTTACATACACCTCTACACACACACACACCTTTACATACACCTCTACACACACACACCTTTACATACACCTCTACACACACACACCTCTACACATACATACACTTCTACACACACACACACTGGTATCAAGATATGAAATGAAAATGTAAACCACTGAGATAAATATTACACACTTACCCCTAACTTAACCACCCAAACACTAACCTAACCTAACCACATCCCTCTTAAATAACGTTAGGGTGTTTAATCTTCAGGTAAAATAATCTAGAGTGGAGATTCTTCAGGTGACCTGGGAAATATTATTAAAAGGTCTAATATGAAGGTACTGTTACTTGTGTGTGTGTGGGGGGGAGGGGGGCAGAGTTCCTCATTTTATGTCGACCAGTACCCCACCAAGCCGTGTGTGAGACTCTGGCTGAGGGGGATTAAAATTAATTGACTTCGCTGGCGACCACTACTTCAGCCGGGAGTTAAGTCATCATTTCCATATTTGTTAAATCACACTCTCCCTCCGTGTGTGTGTGTGTGTGATTGGTTAGGTACTCAAAAATCGACGAGAATTTACAAATAAGGTACAAAAACTATTGACAAATTTCATAATGTATAAATCAGTTACCATCAGCCACCAACATAATTACAATTATTATTTTAACACACCTCAAAATACCTCACAAATATACATCATTACACATGAACTTAGGTCATGTAACACCAACAACACATACCCTCATAATTACCTTATCAAATACTAAATAAACTTGATAAATAAGATGTGAAAAACACCTCAGGTAAAAATTATATACAGTAAAACTTAGGTAACATATTCTAGTAAACAAACACAGCCACACCTTGATAAGCAGGTAAACACAATCGTCGTACACCACACACCTGGGCATGAGGTGTAGGTATCTCTTAACACACCTGTATATTTAAATGCCACTGAACTCACCACGTTTCCACCCTGGGCACCATATCATTGTCTTGGTGTGATTACTATAATATTTCACCTGACATTTTATATATTACAGAATTCCTATACCATATAACGATACAAAGATTACATACTGTATTGACATTATAATACAGGCCATTTATTTTCTAACATCACAAAGGTTAGGTATATATATATATATATATATATATATATATATATATATATATATATATATATATATATATATATATATATACAGGGTGTCCCATAAGTTTCCATACAACGTATCACCAACGCCATTACAAGCATAACTCCAGCTGTGCTTGAACGTGTTCTTCAGCAGTGGAGGACACGCATTGAAGAGTGTTTTCAACAGAATGGTAGTCATGTAGAGCATATTATATAAATAAAAATGGATTTTCATATACAATTTATTTTTCCTATGTATGGAAATTTATGGGACACCCTGTGTATATAATGAGATAGAAGGTGTACACAACAGGTTAGTAACTGAACAACAATGTAACTTAATTTAACGAGATTTTACGGGTCACTTACCGTAATCTTTAAGACAACAACAAACACAGGTTAGGATTACCAAGCTAATCGTACACTTAATCCAGTCAGGGTTACAGGAAACTAACACAGAGGTCATTAGTGATATATTCTATTGGTTTATGTTAATACCCCATAACTGGTCTTGGTGAATATATGTACAAGACAATAATGTTATTTAGTGGCGGCTGTAGCCTGGGATTACTCGTGCCAGGGTGGGATACAGTCGAGGTAATGGATTATGTGACAGTGAAGTAATGGCTTACCTGAGCATGTGTTACAGTAATTGCAGGTGAGTGTGAAGGCTCCTACCAGGGCCCAGGTAAGTGTGAAGGCTCCAGTCAGGTAGTGTGAAGGCTCCTACCAGGGCCCAGGTAAGTGTGAAGGCTCCAGCCAGGTGGTGTGAAGGCTCCTGGGTGACTCAATAACAGTAACGTTTGTCTGTCTCACTGCGGCCCCTTACCTCCACCACATCACCATTTTTCACAACGTTTCCCACCGTATCTGGCACCATGACGTCACTAATCACCCCCTAGCATTAGCCTACACCCGGGCTGACACACACCTGATATAAACATACACCCAACACGCCAGAAACACGTAGCTTTTGGGGCTAAACTAACAAAGATAAGCGGCAAGACGACAACAACACATCCACTCGCACTGACGCTATGATGAGACTGACTGCTGACTGGAGATGAAGTGTCGCTGCCAAACATACGATCCTGCGCCCCGACCCAACATATCTTACAACATAACAATAATCACAAACTTGAAAAAATACCAAAGGAAATATTAGAACACTCTGTCTTATAATAGAAAGAGAGAATTAATATATCAATGTACCTTTAACCACAAACTTATCCTAATCAATAGTCGTGGTAATATTATGGTATGTAATTTAACCTTGAAATATTATTATGACGCAAGCGGCAGGGAATAACACCTTACTAATTGATTTTTTTGTAATCTTGGTTCATGATACAGTATAACACAGGTGCACCTCTGACATATACGGCTGTATCTCATGTGCCACTGTATGTATGTAATAATAATAATAATAATAATAATAATAATAATAATAATAATAATTAACGGTTTATTGAAAGAGCTTGGCAGCAAGAAGACTGAAAATATACAGTTACACAATTTGGGAATGGGTCTCTTGATTTACAAATTAATATACACGTAACATAAGTGAAACAAATATGATATAAAATAACTAGGTGGGGAGAAGCTCAAACTACAGGGAATTTCAACAAAGTGACAGTGGAAAAGTAAGATTGGCTGGAAGTGAATACACTGGTTGATTACAAGTTATTGATAATTTTTACAATGGTTGGGATTGGGCTGTTTTAATAGCGATCAGTTCGTGCTCGCATGGCCTGGATGCGGTTGTGTTGTCGAATTCCTCTCGGGCGAGGGATCTCGGGTGGTAGTAGGGGCTGGTGTCCAGGATGGTGCAGAAGCTTCTCACCAAATTTGCAGATGAGGTCGTGGTGATGGTCAGTGAGAGCCGAGAGGATCAGTGTGTTGAGCGCTTCTTGGTAGGTGGAGTAGGAAGGGGAGAGAATAATCTTGCATGTCCTCTTTTGCACTTTTTCTATGTGTTTACGTTGTGTGGCATTTGTGTATGTATGGATGGATGTATGTGTGTGTGTATGGATGCATGTATGTACTGTGCTATTGTTCACTTTTTATATAATCGTTTACCCAATAACAGTAACCTAACCTAATCTAACCTAACCTTATCTAATCTAACCTAACCTACCTCACCCAACACCCTAATCTAACCTAACCCCCTAGGTATCGTTAGTGTGTTTAATCATCAGGTGAAATAAGCTGGAGGCTAATCTTCATGTCATCCGTTTTTTTTATATACAAGCGAAGAAAATAGGAATCACAATACTTAAGTGTTTATCTGAAGTAAGACTTGTGACGTGAAGCTGGGGTGAATGAGGCAAGATTCGTGACGTGAAGCTGAGGTGAATGAGGGTTGACTTGTGACGTGAAGGAGAAGTAAAAGTTGCAATAGACGTGACGTGAAGGTGAGGTGAAAGTTACCGCCTCTTAATAAACTAGTCTCCATGACCTCACACTGCAGTCAACAAGGAAGATCATTGAGCTGTGGGGACCAATTTACTCACTCTCACTGATGTTAATGATGGATGATGATGATGATGATGATGATGGTTCGTGTCCTTGGGCTGTATCTTATCGTTAATACTGTGTTAATATTTCTCTCTCTCTCTCTCTCTCTCTCTCTCTCTCTCTCTCTCTCTCTCACAAGTCCTGTTTTGAACGTGTGAAGAGTATGTTGAAACTGAAAGATATTGTCGGCATTCTAATGGTTCTGGAAAAACGGGCAGCAGAATATGGCACACAAAACTATCCGAAATGATTACTCTGCGCTAGTGTTCATACAAGATACATTGATGATAAAAAACTAACTTTATATACAAAGATAAGAAAATACTCCTTCAACTGTATACATCTCTCATACCGGCATACGTCCTCGTGGAGTTCATCCCTCAAGAAAGACTTAAAACTCATAGAAAAGGTTCAACACAGAGCGACTATGGTTGATTCCTGAACTACTGTATCTCTATTATCCAATTAAACTGAAGGTCTTAACAACCCTTCAGATAAGACACAATAGGGAAGAATTCATCAGTTATAAATCTTGAAAGTTATGGAAGACTATTTTTGGGGGAAGAAGTCACGTTCCATCAATACAAGAGGACAAAACTTCAAGCTCCCCGGGGTCATATGAAGGGCGAGTAGAAGGAAATACTTCTTTACGTAGAGGGTAGTAGACCTTTGGAACAGTCAGCCAACCAGCTCAGGCAGTGGAAGTGAGAACAATAATGGGCTTCAATATATTCCTTGACGAGACTGGCCTTCTACCTCGTTCTTGACAAGTTTTAGTCAGGATGGCTATTTGGTTAACTGGGTAAAATGGCTTAACTTACTTTTCCGGATAACTTTAAATATAACAGTCTATACGTGGCTGGGGCGGGAGAATATTAATTGTACAGGTATTGAATATGGAAGACCATGACGGGAGCGAATCCGTCTTTTGTGTGTAAACATCAACCATGTAAACAAGACGTGAACTTTATTTAAATTAATGTTCGAGGAAAATGATAATTGATGCTTTTTTATTTAATTGTTGTAATGTTTTATGTTTTATTTATAATAAAAACAATAATAAATTTTATAGCAGATGCGACGGACAGCTGTTTGGAGGTAAGCGCACACATGCAAAGGTTTATCGCTGTCGTAAAACTTCTAAAATATCCTTTGTCTCGGTAAACTTTTGTGTAATTTTCCATATTTTTATAATAATAGTTGAAATTAATATGTGACTATCAGAAACAACGAGGAAAAACATGTTTAATTACTTAGAAATAGCGATGTGTTTTCACCGACCTAAATTCAGCAGGGTTCAGGTGTAAGGGGTGTGGCGCCCTGACCCAGTCTAGTTAAGTCACTCCTAACATTTACAGTTTTCTATTACTCCAGATACTAAAGTTTTCTATGATACCTTCAATGAAAACTAAATATTCTGTATTCATCAGTATTTATCATTTCCACCATGTTATTTGTTATGCCCTTCATTTTCCACTGTTAGTACAGGAGGATAATGGAGTGTCCTGAGAAAACCTGTCATGTTTGAAGAGTTTAGTAAAGGCAGTCAACTGGATAACACCCTTCTTACACCTGACCCAGAACGAGGATTGAACCCAGGACACATTTGAGACACGCAAAATGCATTCTGAGATTTCTATTAGTATGAGAAATTTACCTTCCTTCCCTTCCCTCACAAAACTTAAAAAAACCCAGACTGTGAACGATGAATGAAATACCTCAGTTACCATCATGGCGTCAAGCAACTGTATGTGTAGTAGTCATTGCAGTAATAATAGTAACATGGTGACCGAGGTAACCCATGCAGGCTAGTGTTTGTGATCGAGTGGCAGTGGAAATGTTCGTTTTACCAAGTTCAAAGAAAACGTGTGATCGACGCGTGGAAGACGATGATCAACCAAATGAAAACAAAAATTAAACTATACTTTGTGTTTCTCTTCAGTATGATGGCGTCACCTCCTGGGTACAGTTCTAACCACAGTCAAGGAAATGAGTCAGCGGGTTGAAACACATCATCGTACTCAATGGATCAACTTACTCGATTCAAAAGGTTAAGTCATCGTACTCAGGGTTAAGATAACATATTCAGGGTCATGATATCGTACTCAGGTTCAAGATATCGCACTCAGGGTCAAGATATTGTACCCAGGGTCAAGATAACGCATTCCGGGTCAAGATATCGCACTCAGGGTCAAGATAACGTGCTCAGGGTCAAGATATTGTACCCAGGGTCAAGATAACGCATTCAGGGTCAAGATATCGTACTCAGGGTCAAGATATTGTACCCAGGGTCAAGATAACGCATTCCGGGTCAAGATATCGTACTCAGGGTTAATATATCGTACTCAAGGGGCTGTTGCCATCGTAACATAGTTCGTATCAGAGACAAGTGTCAAACAGAGACTGGCCAGATAGATACACGAGTGATATTGGTTAGGTTTGTGACCAGATGAAGCTGTGTGAGTTATCAGATCGGATAGTCGGGTTTTTTTGTGTTGTAGTGTATCATAGATAATGGCACATCTCCTTGGCTGACCTACCTGATAGGAACCATGCAGGGTGTAGCCAGAGAGAGAGAGAGAGAGAGAGAGAGAGAGAGAGAGAGAGAGGAGGGGGTGATAAGATAACACTCTCAACGGTTCATACGAATTCCTCTGTCCGTAAGAGATAATAACTAATGATATCTACCCTCAACCACGTGTTTTTTCCCTTCTTATATTTACAGTCCGTGTTAGGTTAGGTTAGCTTAGAGTGGCTTAGGTTAGGTTAGGTTAGATTACGTTAGGTTAGGTTAGAGTGGGTTAGGTTAGAGTGGGTTAGGTTACAGTAGGTTAGCTTAGAGTGGGTTAGGTTAGGTTAGGTTAGATTACGTTAGGTTAGGTTAGAGTGGGTTAGGTTAGGTTAGATTACGTTAGGTTAGGTTAGAGTGGGTTAGGTTAGGTTAGTTAGGTTCTTAACAGTTAGGTATACGAGAATGTTTCAGGTATTCCACACATTAATAAACCTTCAGCTCACTAAGGTGTGTGTGTGTGAGCAGGTGTACTGTACACGTCGTTGTCGTGTCTAGTGCTATATGGATTCAAGTTGGATAAGTTTAGGTTTAGGAGGGAGATAGGAAGAAACTGGTTCACAAATAGGGTGGTGGACGAGTGGAACAAGCTTAGCAACTTTGTAGTAAGTGCGGGAACTCTGGAAAGTTTCAAAAGGAGGCTAGATAGATTCATGGATGATAGAGAGTGGTAGTAACTCTCGACAGGAGCTGCCATGCACAGGCCAACCGGCCTATTGCAGACTCCTTATTTTCTTATGTTCTTATGGGTGGTGTGAAAGTGATGGTGGTGGGAGGGTGATAGTGGTGGTGGTAGGGTGGTGTTGCAGGGTAGTAGTGGTAGTGGTGGCAGGATAGTGGTGATAGGGTAGTGGTTGCAGGATAGTAGTGGTAGAGGTGGCAGGGTAGTGGTGGCATGATAGTGGTGGTAGTGGTTGCAGGATAGTAGTGATAGTGGTGGTGGTGGGTGCAGGATA